AACAAAAGCACAAAAAAATGATAAATGATCAATTTTTTTTTTTTTTTGCTAAATAACTCTTAAACTTTACCAATTTCTCTTCTTCTAATTTTTTTTTTCCCCGTTCCGGATTGATTATATTTTCCATTTCCTGTTACACTATTCCTTTTTTTTCCGCTCTTTCTCCCTCCCTCTCTCTTCTCTCACTCATTCCGCTTTTCTTTTCCGTCTGTCCGGATTAATCAAACCGGCTAAATACAATGATATAAGCAAGAGAGAAATGTATTTATTAATTCGTTAGCCTATATCATCTGTTTGTTCATGTTTGCTCATCAAATATGCAAGAAATTAGCATAAATATACATACATATAAATATGCTTGACGTGTTCGTCCCTCTAAAAATTTGCTATCATTTTTAGGCTTTTTTATAAATGCAAAAAAAAAAAAGAAAAAATAATAATAATATTTAATGAGAAAAGAAGAAAAAGAGAGAAAAGATGATCAAATTGTGGGGGGTAGCAAAAATAAAAGAAAAAAAAAGAAAATAAAATTTAAAACAAAAAGATCAAAGGAAAATTATTAATTATTATTAGTCAAAAAAAGAAAAAGAATAAATATGATATCGTAACAATATGAGTAATTATTAGTATTTTTGTACATTTTATGCATAATAAAAATAATCGATGAAGATAAAATGAAAAGCGAAAAATACAGTAAGCATAAAGTGTAGGTATAATAACAATAAGCTTGAATGTATTGTTAGGCTAATAACAATAATAATAATAATGTAACAATAATATATTAGAAATACAACAATAAATTACAGCAATAAGAAACAAACATTGCATGTATTATAAGGAAGAATGTGTTATAAGGCTATGATAGCATCATGATAACTGATAACAGGCCTAAATGTATGGCAGTGTAATGATAACTGATAACAGGCCTAAATGTATGGCAGTGTAATGATAACTGATAACAATTCTAAATGAATGGCAGTATGATGATAACTGATAACAATCCTAAATGTATGGCAGTATGATGATAACTGATAACAAGCCCAAATGTATGGCAGTGTAATGATAACTGATAACAAGCCTAAGTGTATGGCAGTGTAATGATACTGATAACAGGCCCAAATGTGTTATAAGGGCATGATGGAAACAGGTTTAATGTGTTATAGGGCTACGATAGCACAGTGATAAGAGACTTTATAAGGCTATGATAGCACGATGATAAGAGGCCTGAATGTGTTATAAGGCTGTGACAGCATAATGATAAGAGGTCTAAATGTGTTATAAGGCTATAATGGCATAGTAGTAACAAGCCTAAGTATATTATAGAGACTATAACAGCTGTAAGGATAACAATGACAGGCTTAAATGTATTATAAAGCTATAACAACATATAGGCCAAGAAAATAGGCCAAATATATTCTAAGGCTGTGATAGCATAGCTATAATTGGCCTGAATGTATTATAGGAAATATAACAGCTGTAAGTAATAGGCCTGAGTATATCATAAACATTTATTAAATAATAATAATAACTACAAATGTTCTTTTTATTATTATAATTTTCTTTCCATATACTAATTAAGAGTAATTATATTATAAAATAGGATTATAATGAAATAATTTAAAATATTATTAATTAAATTCATTCTTTTTTTTTTATAAAAATGGTATACATCAATTATTATTGTCATTTCCACTTATTATTTTTTTTTTTTTTTTTTTAAATTAACATTTTAGTTTAAAAGGAAATAAAATTTTGTTTTTCTTTTTTTTTTTTTTTTTTTTAAATCAATCGTCGAACAATGAAAATTGTCATTGAATATTATTTATTACAAATGTATAAATTCTTTATGACATTAATATAAGAAAAAAAGAAAATACATAAATGTTAATTAAAAAAAAAAAAAGAAACATTTTATTTTATATTAACTATTATTATTTTTAATAACTTATAACTCTACTAAAAAAAAAAAATATGTTAATAAATCAAAAGATTTATTTGTATTTTAAAAATTAATGATTCCTATAATATAATCTTAATTAGTAATTAAAAAAGATTAAATTAAATTAGCTAATTATTAAAGTTAATAATTTTTTATAACTTCCAAAATTTTATCATTATTTCCAAATAAAAATTTATTAATTAGAAAAAAGAAAAGAAAAAAAGTACAGTAATTGTAACTTAAAGAAAAGGTAAAGGTAAAAAGTTGATGTAATGAAGAGAGAAAATCAGAAATCAAAGGTAACAATAACATATTATATGCCAAATGTACTAATCAAAACCTGTTCAGTTTTGTAGTTTTTTTTTTTTTTTCAAAAAATTTTTATCATCGCAATACTGTTTTTAGATTTGAAAATAAATTCAAATAAATTGAAAACTTCTATGGTAAGTTTTTTTTTTTCTTTCTTTCTCTTCCTCTTCTTTCCTCTCTCTCTCTCTCTCTCTCTCTCCCTTTTTCGCTAAATATTGCTAAATAAAGTGAAAAAAAAAAGGAGAAAATTTGTTTACAATAATTGAAATGGAAAAAAAAATTTTGAAATTTTAAAATTAAAAATTAGAATAAAATTTAAAAAAAATTTGAGTAAATTTTCATAATTTTCCGATTTGAAATGATAAATTCAAGTTGTATTTTAAATTGTAATGCAAAATAAAAACAAAAATTTATTAATTGATGCAAGAAGATAATTTGTTCAAATATTGATAAAATGATAAATGATAACGATAGATATGATTATGTAACTACTGAAATTAGGTTAATGATAGATTGTAATATTTAATAATGTTTAATAAAGATGATAATATTTAATCATAAAATAGTAATTTTATTATTTTTAAAATATTTAATGTTAATAATAACAAGATAGTATCTTTTTTTCATTTCGAATAATAATTATAATTAATTTTTAGAATCGAATATTAGAATTAATTATGGAATAGATGCAAAAATGTTATTAATATATTATTTATAACTATATCAAATACTATCGTAATATTTATAACTATACTAATGACATATTGTTAATTATACTAATACTATACTAATAATTATATCATATTCAAAAATAAATAAATAAATAAAAATGTTAAATAAATAAATTTAAGGCGATTTGTACAAATAATAATTTCTGTAACTTTTGCTATTTTAAATAGTTATAACTATATTTTGTAGTAATACTTACTAACTATACTAATGCTATATAGCTATAAACAGTATAGTTATGACTATAAATATACTACTGATATTGTTATAAATATAAATACACAATTGACATAGTTATAACTATTATAACTATAAACATATTAATTGTATAATTATCACTATAATAGTACTATAATTTATAATAGTAAACAATTATTCTGAACTATTCAAATTTATTACGAATTTAAATATAAATAATAACTTTTGTTTATTATTTTTGATAATTTACCAAATCTAAAATATCATTGTTTACTTATTTACTTATTTATTTATTTATTTTTATTTCATAAAATGATGAAAGAAATAAACGGAAATAATAATAATAGTAGAAAAGATTGAATTTGATTGGTGGATAAATACTCAAAATAACATAGAAATAAATTTTGATTACTGTGAAAAGAAATTCGAAACAAAAAAAAAAAAAAAGAACAAAAAACAAAAAAGAAAAAAAGAAAGAGAGAGAGAGAGAGAGAGAGAGAGAGAAAAAAAAGGAAATCAGAATTTGCCATCGGCGGTGCTAACGATTGGAGGTGCAATCCGGTTTATCAGTTTTAACATTTTCATATATGTTCTGTCAATACAAAGAAGAGGAAGAAGAAGAAGAAGAACTTTTCAACTGCCACTAATCAACTAATCTTTTTCACAATCAATTCTATAATTCAGTAAAATCAGGCTTTCAATAATTTTCATTAACCGGTCTTACAAGTCGGCCAAACTTGAAATCCACTTTTCAAATGCCATGTTTTTCGAATGGTAAAATTTTATTTATGCCCGTTGGCAACAAAATTCATAATCATCTTGAATTCATTTATATGTATGTATAATATTTTAACACATATGTTTAAATTCTTTAAATTAAAATTAATCAAAATTAAATGATTATTTTTATTCATTTGAAATAGTTTAATTAATTTAAAAGTTAAGTTAAAGAAGTTAAATATATGTGTGTTAAGAAACAAAAAAAAAAAAAAAAAAAATTGTATACTTTTGAACAATGATAGCTATTTTGATAGTAAAAAGAAATATAATTTTATTGTAAAAATTATTCTACAAATTTTAATGTCTATAAATTAAATTAATTGCTAAATCATTCAATTAATTTTATGCAAATTTATTATTGTCTATAAGAAGAAATTAATTAATTAATTACAAAATAAAATTTTAAATTGATAATTTCCATTAGATTAATTTAATTTCCAATACTTAGCGATAAAGCATTAATCATTTAGATTAAATAACATATTAAATCTTGAAAAAATTGAAATAATTTTAATAAATGAAACAAAAGGAAAACAAAGAAAAACAAAGATTGTAAATGAAATAAAATTTTAAATTAACAACTTTGTTAAAATAATATTTAATTTGTATGCCATATAAATTAAACTTAGAAAATATTAATATTACCTCTAAAAGAAAAAAAAAAAAAAAATTTGCAGAAGATTTTGTTAAAAGAAAGAATCATTAAAAATTATGCAAAGAAATTTATGAAATGAAAAATTAACTAATAAATTTTATAATAAGAATTTTATAAAACACAATGAAATGAATTATATAAATTTTTAATACGAAAGAAAAAAATTTTCAAATTCAAAAAAATCTTTTTTTTTTTCTTCGAAAAATAAAAAATATTAAGAAAACAAAAATATGCTAATTAATAATGCAAACAAAAACAAAAAAAAAAACAAAACAAAATAAAATAAATTAAAAAAAAAAAAAAAAAAACGAGAAAAAGAGGGATAAAATTAATAATAAATGATTGCAAAATTTATATTATTTGACAAAAATTCTTTGTTTTTTTTTTTTTTTAAATTTTCTCTCTCTCTCTCTCTCTGTCTTTTATTATTTCTTCCTTTTTGTTTATATTACTTTTATGAAAGAGAGAGAGAGAGAGAGAGAGAGAAAAGTAAGTAAAAGGGTAAAAGACAAAGATATCATCGTTATATGGAGGTGAGAAGATGCTAAAATGCTTGTTTTGTCGGAAAAACGAAAAGTGAAAGTGGGAAAATGATACAAATAATTTAACAAAAACTAGTTTTTACTTCTTTTTTTCTTTTTTTTTCTAATTTTTTTTTTTTTTTTTGTTTCCATTTCTTTCTATTTTAACAATTATTCATTTTCATATTTCCTTTTTTAAATCAAAAAATTTAATCTCTTTTTCTTCATTATTCATTTCCTTATTTATCAAATTTAAAAAAAAAAAAAAACGAGAAGAAATAAGAAAGAAAGAAAAAAATTATAACTATTTTAAAAATTTAGAAATGAAAAAAATGTAAAAATGAACAATTTAAGCAATAATTTTTGTAATAAATAATTTATATGAAAAAAAAAAAAAAAGAAAAGAGGTAAACGATTAGAAATAATTATTTTCTTTTTTGCTATTTAAAGCTTTTTTTTTTCATTTCTTCTTCTTCTTTCTTGTTTAAAATTTTATTAAATTTTTAACAAATCTGTAATGTTTTTTTTTTCTTTTGTTTTAAATAATCTTTTATTTATTTATTTTCAATTTTATTTCAATTATTTATTATATTTTATTGAAATCAATCTTTTTTATTTCATTTTAAAGAAAAAGATATCTATTGTTTATTATTATTATTTATTAGTTATCATAATTATTTAACATCATTATTAATTATTGTTATTAGTTATTATAATTATTTATCATTATTATTAATTATTATTATTATTTATTATTCTTGTTATTATTAGTATTATCTTCATTTGAGAAACAAAATTTTAAAATTTCCGGAAATTTTCAACTCTTGTTTTAGTAGCTGAATGAAGCAGGATAAATGAAGAGAATATGTTGAAAAATGAAGAATAGATGAATGAATAAAGAAAAAGGATGGAAATCAGGTTTTTGTAATGATATGCTGATTAGGATGGCCTTTTCCTGTCCACCCCCTCTCCGGTCCCCCGGTCCTTCCTCCCCTCTACCTTCCAACCACCTGCTATCACATCACATCTTGCTTACCTTTTTGTTTCAAGTTTTCCCTCTCTTCTAATTCTATTTCAACTAGTAAAACAAGTTCTTTTTTTTTTTTTTTTTTCATCTTCTTTTCTTTCTTTCCTTCTCTCCCTCTCCCTCTCTCTCTCTCTCTGTCTCCCTGTTCATCCATCTTTCTAATAATTTTATATCAACCTCCAAATATTGCTGCATGTGTGTTGTGCATGCATTAATCAACAACCGTTTTGCTTTGAAATAATGATGAAAGATTAAAACCAGTAACAATCCTGTAATGGTACCGGTTATTACCGGTTTTTTTGTGCTGCTGCTGTTGTTATTGTTGTTATTGTTATTTATTATGATTATAATTGTAATTATGATTATGATTATTATTGTTATTTATTATCATTGCTATTTTATCTTTTTCAAATAACATATGGACATCCATTTTTGTCACCATTTTATGGTGGTAATAAATTACTTGGTGGAATGAAGTTGCAATTTGAAAAATAGACCAACAATTAGATGCATTTGTTTGTTTGTTTTTTTTTTTCTTTTTTGTTTTTCTTTTTTTTTTCCGGTTCTAAAATAACAATGAAATCGGAATTTATTTTTCCGTTTCTCATTATTCTATAATGCAAATCATTTTATGTTAGTATAATACTAATCACAACTAATTGTTATTGTATTTTTGTTTTTTGTTTTCGTTTTATTACAATCAAAATAATTTATATTTCACATGCATCATTTGATAATTTAATTTAGTAAAAGGATGTAAAAGGAAAGAAAAAAAAATATTTTTTTTTTTTTTATTTAGAGAGTGAAATATTTAATATTAATAAATTCAAGTTTTAAAATATAATTTTTATTTAAAAAATTGAATACATTACAAGTGATGATTATTATAAATTATTATAAAAATATTCTTTTTTTTAAAAAAAAAAGCAACGATATTAAATAATAATAATAATAAAAAATCTTCGAATCAACAAAAATGACATATTTTAATATTTCAAAAATATTTAATTTTGTTTTATTAATAATTTAATTGAACAATTACAAATTATATATATTAAGGTGATAATTAAATATTATACCTTATTTCTGTATTTATTTATTCATTATGTTTAAACTTCAAAAATACTAATTAGCATTTAAAAATGATTTATCATAATATGTAAAAAACTTAAATTTTTATTTAAATGAAAATCTTTTTTTTTTTTTTTTTTTTTTTGTATTTGTTTAAATTTTAAACTGTTTTTTATAAATTCTACATTTTTGATTAGTTTTTATCTAACAAATTTTGGAATACTTATACGAATTAATATTTTTTAAAAAAAAATCTTTCTGAATGAAAAAAAAAAAAAAAAGTGAAATATCAATGAATTGTTCGTTTTGTTTTCCAAACATTTTGGATATTTGAATACCTGAGAAAATACCTGGAATTTTATGATAATAATTAATCATTTGATAATTAGTTGTAAAATTCTTATTGAAATATTCAATATATATTATTTTAATAAGTTTAAAATAATTTTTATTTATCGGTTCCAGTTTTTTTTTTTCATAAATATTTATAAATGAATTTATGGAAATATGTTGAAGTTTGTTCTTTCACTTTTTGTCACCTCAAATGATAGTTGACAAAAAAAAAAAAAAAAAAATTAGAAAAAGTGATGGAATGGTGAAATTGTTACAGGAGTAGAGATGAAATGAGATGAAAGGAAAAAAAAAGTTAAACGAAATAAAAAAGAAGGGAGAGAGAGAGAGAGAGAGAGAGAGAGAGAGAGGTATAAAGAGAAGAAAAAAAAAAAAGGTAATCAAGAAATGTTTTTACAATAAAATTTGATGACATTTGAAAACTTGTTTTTTGTTAGAATTTTTAATTTTTAACGAAAGTAATTTTAAAAAATTAAAAATTATTATGTTGCAAATTTTATTAGTGAAATATGAACGGTTTGATAAATGAATGATTGATAAATATGACAAAATATTGGTTAGTTTTTTTTTTTTTTTTTTTTGATAAAAATTTTAATTGGTGTTAAAAGTAGAAAAAAAGAAATAAAAAAAATAAAAAGTGAAAATTGTCACATGTCATATAATATATAAAAGATATGCAAAAAAAAAGAAGGATAAAAAAATAAAAAAAAAATTGATAACATTATGAAAATGAAAAAGAACAAAAAAGAAAATTGAAGAAACTGGTTTTTTTGCTTTTTTTTTTTTTTAGAATATTTCTTTAATTTAAGTTTTTTTCTTTTCAAATAAAGATAATTTTAATTGTTTATTTTCCGGAACTACTCGGTGAAATTTTAAAAAATTAATTAATTGAAGAAAAAAAAAGCAAAAAAAAAAAAAGAACGAAAAGTTATGTAAATAAGTAATTGTTGAAACAAAATTAAATAAAAAAAGAAAAGAAAAAGCAGTAAATAATAATAATAATAATTAAAAAAAAAATAAATTAAATTAAATTTCTCATTTTTGCATTAAATTAAATGAAAATGGTAAAATTTTTAAATTTGAACCGATTATTCTTTTCATAATTATATTTGTTTGCTTTTTTTTCTTTTTTTAGCTAATTTTTTCATCGTTTTCTTTTGATTTGAAAATGGAAAACGGATGATTTTTACTTTTTTTCTCTTTCTTTCTCTCTCTCTCTCTCTCTCTCTCGAAAATTTCTTGTTTCAGGAAAAGAATTACCGTTTAGAGAGAAAAAAAAAAAAAAAAAAGAGATGAAGAAGAAGAAGAAAGGAAAACTTGTTTTTAATGATATGCTTATCTCTCTTTTTTTTTTTTCATTTCATTTTCTATTCTACCTCTTTTTAATTCTATTATATTATCATTTTGTTTTATTTTCGTTTATCTTTCTCTTTGTTTTCTTCTCTTCCATCTTCTCGCTCTCTCTCTCTCTCTATTTGTAAGGGAAGTTTTTCTTTTTTGTTTCTTTCTCTTCCCCTCTTTTCGTCTAAAACTGGAAAAAAAAAATTGAATTAAAATTGCAAAAATAGCAGTGGAACAAAAAATTCCATCTAACCATCTATTATCTTATACTTTAGATGCTAACAATATAATTCTGTCGCTGTTTCCTTAACAACTAGCAAAGCAACTTTTAAGGTTATCATTACTATCATTATCATTATCATCATCATTATCTTTACTATCAGCATTATCATACCATTTTTATTACCATCGTCATCATAACATCATTATTATCACTATAACCGCATTCAGCATTCCCATTACCATAACATCATTGTCATTATTATTGTTATCATCATCATACCATTTTTATTACCATCGTAATCACATCATCACCATCATCATCATTATCATTATTATCGTATTCAGCATTACCATTACCATAACATCATTTTCATTGTTATTATTATCATCATCATGCCATCACATCACCATTATCATCATAGTTACTGCCTTCACCATGGCACATCGTCATCATCCTCACATCGCTATTAATACCATCATCATTATCATTATTCTATTATCATCACATTATTATTGCCACTATTATTATCATTTCATCATTACTATCAATATCATTACCATTACAATATAATAATTATTACTATCATCATTACTAACAATTATTATCATTAAATAAAAGGGATTTTTTCCAACCATTTCATTTTAAAGATTATAAAGTTATATGAAGTAAATGAAAAATTATGCAAATAAGCTAATTAATTTTATCTTATTTGAAAATATTTTCGATTCTGACATTTCATCATTAAGATCATTATCATTATTATCACTGATTAAGATAAATTAATTGTATTTAGTATGTGTGTATTTTACTTTGACAATTAATGAAGATTTCTCACTTTTTTTTTTTGTCACACTTAATTGCATTTAACTCATTAAATCAAATATATTCTAATGATTTACAATAAAAGAAATTATCAAAATTGAAATGAATCAAAGCAGAATGAAATAGCAAAACTATTA